TCATCAAGACAACTGTCTCGTGTCAGGATACCCGTTGAACGAGTAATAGGACGCTGGAAGGACTGTAAGATTTTGCAAACAGTAATTTCTGTGTCACAACTCAACATTCTAGATGACATTGCGATTGTGTGTGCTGCTCTAACAAACCTCTGTAAGAGTGTTGTTCCCAAAAAAAAAAAACACCCAAAAATATCCACTCCCATGATCCCATGCAGACTATGAACAGTGCTACTGTCATTTGTTAGAAAATGTAAAACTGATTTTGCATTACTGTAAGAAAAAATGTAAAGCTGCTACTGTGGTTTTTTTGTACAATTTTATTTTTAAATTTCTCTGTATGCGACTTGTCAGAACCATTTCGATTGTACACAAATTAAATGTTTGTGGTTTCAACATTAGATGCAGACTAAAATAAACACATACAAACACCACTGAATCCTAAAGAATTGTTTATTTGAAAATTATTTGAGCATCAATACCATTCTTTTAAATCCAAGAATTAGCCAGGCTTGTTTTAAATCAACTTGGAAAGATCAAGACTCAGCACATTCCAGACATAACCACATTGTTGTTTTGCATCTGATGTTTACACAGCTGTGATGAAAGTGACTGCTGCATTTATTACAGTCAGCGCCAGCGCTCCGCACACGCACACCACGCACAGCGCGTAGGGCACCACGCCGGGGAAGGGGCACCAAACGCAAGCTTATGAAATATAATATATATATATATGATAAAGACAGATTTCAATTAGAAGATGTGCCAAAGCAAGTTAACAGCATGTTTACAGAGAGAAAACAATACAAAAAGGAAAGGAGATGGACCGTGTCCACTTTTCACTCTCTGTCCGGACGTCCGGACTGGGGGTTCTTATATTGATGAAAATGTCCGGCGTTTCATCCAAGAGCAGGGATGGGGGAGCTGTATATCCTACACATCCAGGGGACCCGGAAGAAAGTTTTCTACCTATATTACATCATTTATGGACTCTTTTGAGCAGAGAACACAGAGAGCGTCACAGCGCTGCGTTGTTGCGCAGCGATTCAGGCTGCTGCTTCCAGCGCACGGTCCATTCTCAAAGTGGCGCAGGCAAAAAACTATAATTAACACACGATCGTTCATGTCCGCTCATGTTCTCGACTTTCTGTCTTATTTGTGCCTGGCGCTCTGCTACTGCAGAGCTCATCACCTGTGTTGCAGTGATTTCACCTCACTGACGCAGCATCGAATCGCACACTCCGCTTTGCGGTCAGGAGATCCCTTTGATCTGCTCAAAAGTAACTGATGAGGTGAAAAAGTAAGAATCCAGGCAGCAGTTTTTCTGGAGAGTTTAGAGGAGATGCAGGAAGATGAGAGACAGACAGGACAGGAAAATAGTTAAATAAAAACAAGAAAACAAAACAAAGTGTTGAAAAGTAAAATGTAGGTAGATTTATCTCCACTACACGGGGGGGGGGGGGGGGGGGGGGCACCACAAAGCCTTTGTGCTTAGGGCACCAAAATAGCTAGCAACAGCCCTGATTACAGTATATTGTTTTGGCCAAATCCGGCCTTCCACAGAATTTGCATGCTCCGTCATTCCATTGCAGGATCAAATCTTCTCGTTAGGAGCTCTGGCAACACGTGGGAAATGAAGGTCTCCTGAGCTTTAGGCAAAGTGTCCCGCAGATGTTTGTGGTCTTTATCAACACGCTGCACAATGAACTCTTTCTTCGTCCACACCACAAAGTCACAGTAGTTTACATCACACACAAACATGTGGAGCTGAATCTGGTAGTAGTATGGGTGTGAGGGCTTCAACATTAATGAGTTGTCTAGGCAGAACTTGGGGTCTTCTGTACTTCCCTGAAGACTCTCCCTGTACTTGTAGGGACATTTGATCTCCACCACTCCTTTTCCACAGCAGGTACATGCCACAGTCCCATCCGGGGATGATCCAAGGTGTGGCTCAGATGGCTGAACAACTAAACCACAGGTGCTGACCATGAGTCCTTGGTGATTTTTTGCCATGAAATAACTATACTGTTGTCAAGCGGTTTGCTCCATATTTTCACCCCAGATGACAGATGGGACATTTAATGTGGTCTTATTGTACCGCATTATGTCCAATATGTAATTTTTGCTGAGTTTGTCTGTTGTGGCCACATGGTGAAATTTTGTATTTGTGATCCTACCAGCCCTATAGATATGTCAGTCATGTGACTTTGACTGCTGCCTTGCTACCCATTGTAGTTTTTCTTGTTGATGCTGCTGCGTTGTAGTTTTTAAGTCTTTGAAATCTTTCTTCACATTTTACATGTAATTCCTGGGGTGAGAGCTCCCTGAGTGTAGTGTCAAATAAAGAAGTCAAGGGCTCTGGCAAGCCAGTTTGTTCCTCTGTATCCGTGTCTGATGAAGCGGTTTCCGTGTCACTGTTTTCCATGCTTGTCAGGACTGCAGCTTCTGGCTCCACTGCCTTTAGTTCCAGGATGTCATCATCTGTCAAGGCTGGGGAAAGCATAATAAGACATAATTAGAACGCAGTTTTCAGTTTTAATAAATTTTATGTTTCTATCTTTTCCTTTAACTAAAGACACAGAATAAATTATTACCAATTAAGAAATAATACATTCAATGTGCAACCACAAACCAGAACTTAGATTACACTTGTCATTCATTACATGCCTCTTAGTGTGACACTGCTCCTCCAAACAGTTTTCGAAGCTACTAGGAGCTGTCTGCCTAGCTTCTCTGATTTGTGGAAACTGATCTTCAGTGGAGCTGGTTCTACATTTTTCCTGCTCAGGTCTTTCCATGCACATGCCTGAGATGTAACTGCAGCCTTTTCTGTTTTTCCAATCCGAACACAAAGCTCAACTTTGAATAAAATTGCTGCTGCATGGCTGCAGCATGACCCAAGTCTGGAACATCAAAATGACAGAATTAAACATACCGTAAATCCTCTAATACAGGCCCGGGCCTGTATTTGACTCAAGCTCATCAAGCTACAGGCCTTTATTGGAAGGAGGACCAGAATTAGAGGCAGGCCTCTATTTCTATTTGAGCAAAATGAACTAATGGTTCGCTGGAGTTTTTGACAATTAAAATTGCGCCCACATTTTCAAAGTTAAACACATTTCTTTTAACAACGGTAGTTTCTGCTTCAGCCCTCTCCCCCCTCCCCCTGCGCAGCGGCCGCAAACTCACTGATGCGCCTGCAGCCTCTCGGAGTTCCTGCTGCTCTAAACATTAAAATAATTATTTCATTTTCTGTTCCTCACTTCTGATTACCTTCAATGGTGTCTGTTTGTTGCAACCACCAGGTACAAAAACAAACTTGTTTTTATTTGACTATTTTTCTGTCCTGCCTGTTTATTATCTTCCTGCATCTCCTCTCAATCCTAAAGAAATACTGCTACCTGGGTTCATATATATTCACCTTATGAGTTACCTTTGAACTGCAGTTCTAAAGGATCTACCGACCGCAAAAACAGCGGAGTGCTCGCTGCTTGGCGGCCGCATCAGTGATCGGTGCGTCACCGGAGGACAAGGTGATGCGCCTCGCTCCACAGCAACGAAACGCTTCAGGCACAAATAAAAGACAGAAACATAAAAGGAAATGAGCCGACATGAACGATCGCGTGTTAAATTAGTTTTTGAGATGGCGACACCTGATTTGATAACGTTACTGTGGCCGTGCTCAGGACGCAGATGTCTGGAGCGCGTCAACAATCAATTCGCCTCCTCTTCGTCTCCGCACCTGCCAAATCGCGGTCTGTCACTGGCAAATCAGAATGGCAACAGACTCCCGGATCCCTGTGGCATTATTGAATGGGTGGAAGATGTAGGTGCGTGGCCAGATATCCAGTGGCCCGATATAAATATATATATATATATATATATATATATATATATATATATATATATATTTATATCGGGCCACTGGATATCTGGCCACGCACCTACATCTTCCACCCATTCAATAATGCCACAGGGATCCGGGAGTCTGTTGCCATTCGTTAAAGTGACTATAATAATATAACATTCAAGATTTGCCGGTGATAACCTCGCAGCGTAGCTTGCTAAAGCCCGAAACGACTCCATTCTTTGTTGCCAAGATGCGCACGCATTCTCGCTGACGGCATACTGTTTACAAACAGTAAAAGGGTCTATACGATCAACAATATGAACTCAAAGAATGAAGTCAGCTGACCACCAGAATTTACTGCATGACCAGGTTATTCTATCAATGAATGTTTATGTCTTCCTTGTTGACACAAGCTTGTTCTAAGATGACAAAACCAGAATTCATCTGACTGAAGTAGTTGAAAGAGGTGGTTCAAGGAGTATGAGACATCTTTTTCACACATGGATCAAAGCTGTATTGTTTTTTCCATTTATTTTTAAAATAACCAAATAAACTATGTTGAAAAAAATTATAATTTTTAAAAATAAAGTCTGAACCTTAAAGGGATATTTCACCACAAGCCAAATTTAGTCCCCAGAGTTAGGCAAGTGAGAAAAAACATTTTGTAAACAGCCCAGTCATTCTCCTAATCTAGAAGTATTAATCATATTAATCAAGTCATTGTGTGCGCACGTGTGTATGTGCACACAGTTGTATCGTTTTGTGTACCTTTCATTGACTTCTATTCATTTTAGTGACTTCATTATGCAACCCATACCCTAACGAATATTGTATACACGTGCAAATGCGCGCGCACACACACACACACACACACACACACACACACACACACACACACACACACACACACACACACACACACACACACACACACACACACACACACACACACACACACACACACACACACACACACACACACACACACACACACATTCTTGTCCAGCAGCACCTACCAGGACACTGTAAAAACACATTCTCCTTGGACCCACATTGTGTTCTTCATTCCAGAGGCTGCTTTGTTGAATAAAATTGGGATAAGTGATTTTACAAACAACAACAGTTGTTACAAAGTTAGAGACAACACAAGATCTTTGAAACACGGTATCCCAAACTTTATTTTACTGGTTTTATCAGACGTACCATGGTGAGCAGTCACAGTTTGTGGTGGCACACACACACAATGTTCTGCCAATCAACTGATGCTTAACAAAACATAACAATGTTAAACACACGAATGCAGACAGTGGTAAAGCTGAAATAAATAAAAAAACTTAGTATTAAAAACACAAGTGCTGCAGTTATTCCATTAAAACAAAATGCTAAACTACCAATTTAGTGGCTGGTTTGAAATCCCAGGTTGCACCCAGCAGAAATTTAAGAAAAAACACAGCTGAAAAGGTAAGCTATATTTTAGTGAGAGAAGATTAAGAGAAAATAAAACCAAGAAAAGTAACAGACAGTTAAGAATCGAACAGATATTAACTTAAATACAGATGAATGAATCTTTTGAGGCAGGAAGTGACAAGGACAGATATATTGTGCATAACTATTTACGGACACTCAAGACATGGAACAGGTGGACGCAAGTTTGCATGGAAACACTGTTGAGTCAGTGCTAGCAGCAGCCAAAAACAGGCTACTCAAAATACCATCAAAATCAGTCGAACTTTAGCCAAAATCATTCAAAACCACCCCTCTCACAGAAGAATAAACAGCACAGAATAAGAGATGGGAGAATAAAGACATGAAATAAAGCATCTAAGGACAAAACAAATATGAATCAAGGTGAATAGAGAAGGCAGACAAGTTTGAAACTTCTCCAAAAAGGCAATATATGTCATTCTTGAGTGTAGTGAGTGCTGTTTCTATTGAAATAAATATGTAGGATTAATTCTCTATGGTTAGTGGGATGGCCATATAGTCCACCTCACTGATAATGCTGTACAGTATTTACACATAATTATTTCTTAAAGACAAAATAACCTTTAGATGTACATACACTATCCCTCATCCTTTGAGAAAACAACCATGATATTAAAAGTAGCAAGCAGTGTCTTTTTATTTATTAATTTTTTTTTACTTTTTACAAAGAACCCATGCAATTCCCATACAGAGTATTTATTTAAGATACGTAACTCCTTTAAGATCTCCTCTCATTCAATAACAGCAGATATTGCCTTTTTAACTAAATAGTAATGTGCAATTACATTAGAACAAAAGGCTTTGCAGCTTCGTTTGACTTCAAACCAAAATGCTAAGCTCTATACGCCAAATGTAAGTACACTGATTTTAAGATCAACCAAAAAAATAAAAATAAATAAAAACTGAATCTGTACAACATTCAACCCTTCTTTCGTCAATGCCATGGGAATGGGATACAGTTCTCTATAACTATATACAGACATGTTATCATTCATGCACAGTGTCAACAAGTAGCACATTGACATTCCAAAATGAGGAAAACATGGCATAGGGACATAGGGCAATTAGGGATATGGGGTGAGGGAAGTACAGATAAAACACCACTGCCTGTTTCTGTTATGTTGGTGGCAGAGGAGATTGAGAAAATAAAAAAAAGAGGGGAAAAAAGACACAGGGACAGATAAGACACCTTAACAATACACATGCTGGGCAGGAGAAGTCCAGTTGAGCTCACTGACCCAGAAATCAATGTATGGCTGTAACTTCTTTTATTGTTATTTTTTATTTTTGTCTTTGTCCTCCTTGCATTCCATTTCCTTCTGTTTTCTCTTTAACACCTTTGACAATATACTTATTAAATGTGATTTAAAGGTAGAGAAAAGCTCTGGTCAAATTTTCCCCTTTTCTAGCGATACACTTTTACTCAGCTTGTGTCAGCAAGGATATTTGTCCTTCAATTTCCACGTTTGACAGTGTCGTTTTGCATTCATTTATTTTTCAGTGTCAGACAGACCGTCAGTTAAGGAGGGGAAGAGGCATTAAATAGATCAACTCTTAAATTAGAAGTAACATTGCTAATGAGTCACAACAGATATCACCACTGGATTATAATTTTTTTTCTTTTTGTACAGGAACATTATTACTGCGTAAATCAGTCAAGAAACAAAACAGAATTGGTTGTTTACATCAGAAGTAACTCTTTGTAGCTGTTTCATATTAGCAACAAGAACCAATGCAATGCTTTATTTAAAACCCACATCATTGAAAAAAAAACTCATTGAATCATAGAAATTTGTTTATTCCTTCATTGCTTTTAGTGTCCATCTGTATAGCAGTAGCGCAGCTAATCTTTGACCGTCCTGCACTCAGAAGTCAAAAGCAAGACAAGAAGCTAAATCTAACCACTATTGTAATTCTTTGCAGGAAAGTGTTGCATTGAAAAAGAATGTAGATCCTGTTTGGCATTTACAATAGATGCAGGTAAAAAAAAGCCAACCTGCTTTTTGCAGCCTACAATTTGTTAACTTCCATACTTGGTTAAAATCCTCTTAACAGCTGTCATAAATCAGCCATCAGCTTCATATCAGACACATGTATTCAAGGTAGATACAGAACATGAGAGCACAGCAAAGTTGGTGTTGCTAGAAAAGCTTCAAGTAATAATTTGACGCTAACATCTATATAACTGCAAGCTTTTCATTCCCGTTTACTCAACTCAAGTAGCAGACAAATTTTAGGTAAGTCTAACACAATTCAACAAAATCTTATACACATTATGCACTGGCAATAAAAATCTATGTTGATTTCGTACTCCTTTTGTAGATATTAGCAATAATTTTTACTGTGTATAAACCTCCAACTTCATGCCAGTGAATATACAAATGAGATTTACTGATTTGGGTTGGGTTCAAACTTTTCCTATTGTTATCAACATGGATATTTGGTATTTTCAGAAAGACAAGCTAGTTAGAAATTCTTACTTTCTTATAGAATTTCCCTTTGGCAAAAAGAGTAAACTGCATCTTCGTACAAATGAGAACAGCTAATCTAATAAAAAGCTGTACTTTTAGCAGCTTGGCAAAAACATTGAGTTTGAGTATTTCAATTGATTTAGGAATTAAAATAGAGCTGTGAGCCATATTTTACCTCTATATAGCACTCTAAAATTGTGTAATTCCCTAGCCCTCTGGATTGATTATTTTAGAAAAATTCCAATATATCCTCATCTTCACAACACTTTTTAGATTTTCCAAATTTGTCCATAATTGACCTCCACTCTGCTTTACTTGTATTGTAGACGTCTAACTAGATGACTGCTATGTTTACAATGTTATACTTCTGGTTCAGATGACATTTTACAAAAGACAATTCAATACGATGAATTATACATTAAGTTTAAAAAAGGGATAAGGGAAATACTAGCCAATTTTGTTGCATACAGTAGTGCTATAGTACAAGTTAGAGTACGCTGAGTTCTTTGTCGTTGTAGCTGAAGGATTAAAATAACAGTCTGAAGTCTAGACTTTTCTCACAGTCACAATAGGCTCGAAGATTTGGTTATTTGGCAATTTTTTTTGGATGTCAATTTGTTTTTGCATCAAATTTTTTTATTTTGACATTTTATTAAAAACATGAAATGCTAATGTGATCAACACGGTTTGCTTTTGCCTAAGATGATGTCAAATAGTAGAAATATTGTTTTCACATCCTCCAGCCACACTTCGATTGCCAAATATTTATAGAGAAAATCACTGACTCCTGTGACACCTTGAAATGAGATTTTATAGCTTAAATTCTATTTTAAGACAGAGGATAAATTACATTATACAATATGTATATTATAACTTTTTTGGCTCCGATTTAAAAATGTGAGATTGCATTAGTTTTCCCAACACTACCCGATCACAATAGATTCACAGTTAATTTGCATCATCTTGTTAATTAAACTCTGGCATACTTTCATGTTTGTTAGAAGAAAATAAAGCATAAGCCAACAGGACTACGGATTCCTTTATGTATTCAAGGAATTACCCTAATATTAAACACTTAATCTGTTAATACTGCTTGATTCGTACTTTAAACTCAGTGACTAAATTAAACTCACCTTACATTTAACAAGGTTCATCTACTTTAAAAGAGATTTAAAAATGACTAAAATATTATTCTTTCTTTTGATTTAACGTCATTTCTTCAAGCATCCGTAAGCTGGTTTAAATACTCATACATGTCCCTTTAGGGCTTTCTGTAGTAACCAGGGGCCTCATTTATAAAACTTTGCATAGAATCCTTACTAAAACCCAACTTGAGCTCAGTAAAAAAAAGAAATGTAACGCAAGCTAATTTCCTGACCTATAAAACTCTGTTTACACATGTGGTCAGGTGTTTCTGGATCACATCTTGCCTTCTACACACCCACTTTCTGCAATAAATGGACAATGCAAACTACGTTCTTAATATTGTACGTATAAACAAACCCGCTTATCAATCGTGTTTCATGGGTGACCATGACAACCGACACAAAAATCTATGCTCAGGGTGTGACGTAGGCATGGACAAATACTTTATTCCCTTCACTCTGCTGCAGGGATGAGCCCTGGAATATACTTGCTTTTTAACTTTGCATTGGTGCAGGCATCAGGTTGTGTCTTTTTTTCACATACTTGCTGGTGCTTGCACGTAGTACTGGAGTGTTCCACTAGGGGGGCACAGTATAGAAATCAGACCAGATAGAGTCCCGGGCGTTTGGGGTACAAATAAATGCAAAGTAGCAAATTTAAACACACGTATGCATAGTTAAAAAGCAAGTATATTTCAGGCCTAAGATGACATTAATCATTGATACCAATCAATAAAAGCAGCAATATGGTGCACAGGAAGAGATTGCTCTCTTTTCCAGATCTAAGGGGAACATTTAATGAAAAGCTTTAATTTAACCCAAAAAGGACTTTAGGCTGGAACTATTATCAGCCCAATGGTTGGCTTATTCCCACAACAACGAGCCAATGTTCTGTCATCACCTGTTTAAGGAAAACCCCGACAGCAGTACCTGTTAGCAAGTATATTTCAGGCCTAAGATGACATTAATCATTGATACAAATCAATAAAAGCAGCAATATGTTGCACAGGGAGAGGTGGCTCTCTTTTCCTGATCTAAGGGGAACATTTAATGAAAGGATTTAATTTAACCCAAAAAGGACTTTAGGCTGGAATTATCAGCCCAATGGTTGGCTTATTCCCACAACAACGAGCCAATGTTCTGTTATCACCTGTTTAAGGAAAACCCCGACAGCAGCACCTCTGTGTTATGTAGTGCCATTTTAGTTTCTAGTTTTAATCACACATGTGCCGTTGCATGCAACAGAATTGATGCACCAATAAAGATTTTGAAGGCGTAATATCATAAAGACAATTTATAATAATTAGTGATGTAATTTTTATTGTCGGTTCAGAGATTGGGGTGGGGGTGACTGTTGGTTTTGTGTGTGATCGCGAGGGTCTGCAAGTCTGAAAACGTGTCCCAAATTAAATTTTTCACCATCTCCAAAATGTGCTTACTCCAGATCCAAAGTTTGCTTAAACTTGAGCACATTTTTCTGTCAAGTTCTTCTAAGAAATTGCAAAATTTTGTGTGGAATGTCACCAACACAGTTTTCAGACCCAGTGTGGTGCATAAGCAAGCTGTACAAATGAAGCCCCAGACCATTTACCCCTACCTGTATTGAGTTGATTTCAGCACAAACTCTACAAATACTTGTATTCACTTTTTCTTTATTCCTTTAATATTTTTTCTTAGTTTAATGGCTTTCATGTTGGCTGTTAAAGTCAAGCAATAATTGCTGTTTTGAACATTTGACATGACAGTGAATCACAGAATATATAATGTTTACTTCCTTTTTATAAAAAAATAGACAGTAATCATCCAGTTTGATGGGTATAATATTTTGAATTAGTTACAAGAGAAAGTGACAAGAAAATGAGAATGAATAGTCGTTTCAAGATTAATAGAGTTATTTGCAATTTGCAGTTTATGTTATAAATAGAACGGCTCTTATCAAGAAAAGTAAGAGCTTTGCCTGATTGAACACATTAAATTAGCTTTTATGTATACTTGGTTTAGTTCTTTAAACAATGTACTCATATTTCAATATCAACGCAAATACCTTCGAAATGACAGATTTATATGTGTGCTAGAAATGTCATTTAAAGGTTGGAGACTAAAAGTTGTTTGTCGAAAAGCCAGCCCTTGCAACTTTTGGGGAGAGGTGGTTCAGAGATATTGGATATCGATTGAAACTCAGAAAAAATCAAGCTGTGTGAAAGTGAGATAATAAGATGGACAACTAAAAGAATGTCGGCCAGGTTTTGCAGAGACTGGTATCAACATTTTATACATTATGAAAGTGTATTGCAGTGGGATGATTCAGAATTATTTGATTATCTCATTGGTGGAAAACCAGAACAAAAACGCAAACATACAAGATTAACTTAGATTTTAATGCAATGATTATAGTTTCTCTAACAGTTTTTAACGGTAGAGTGGCCTGTTTGTCTTCTCAGACATGGGCCTTATTAAAGGTAAAAGCACATTAACCCTTTCATATTAAATAAGATATTAAATTATTATATCTACAGTTTAAAGCAACAAAAGGAGCGCTCGTTCAGGAGCGCATGGCATAACCAAGACATTCAGAAGAAAAATCAGTGAAGCTCTAAATATACGTTTAGCTCTCGAGTATTTACATGCCTGACTTCAGCAATGATCAAAAGTTGGCCACACTGATTGCTCTCCGCCACCATGAGAGTCCTGCTCAGCATTTCTACACGCTGAGAAAGTGAGAGTCCAGAAGACCTCAGATACATTTAGTCTCACGCGGCAACAGCAAAAACAAGAGGCTTTTTTTTCACAGTAGTTTACCTTCTTCCAACAGCACACAAGCACATATACGTCGCCTCACGCCAGCAAACAGAGTTTGTTTTCAGTACACAGATGTGGCAATGAATCCCATTTTTTTTCCTGATTGTGTTGTTAGTATTGTCTAAATATGGTTGTAGACGTTTATATTGGTGTAGCTGGACAGACGATTGCTCCGAATGGAAGAGGAATCCAGCGATTTCTGTTTAAGCAAACTTCCAGACTTCAAGCTCATAGATCCAGCTGGAAAAAATATTATTACCACGTGTTTGCAACCCTATAACTTTGTTGTATGTAGTTAAAACATGAGTGTACTTTAAAATAACTTAATGGGTCTTTTTGTGTAGCTAGACAAAAATTGATTTATTTGTTTACTCCTTTTTTCACCGTCAAATTTCCGTCTTTTGAGAAACGTATCTAACTGCTATGATTCTTGTCCTTCCATGCATCTGTTTCCTTCCACTTAGTTTTTAGATGCTTCAATACATCTAAAGGTCCTTCATCTGTACATCCTTCCATTCATTTGTCATTAAATGTATTGCACAAAAGGAATACTAGATCATCAAAACAGCCTTAATACCCCAAATCCTCAATTAATTCACCATTCTTCTGTCTTGTATTCCTGTTACATCCTTCCCTTTGTTATTTCTCACCACCTTAAAAACCTTTGATGTGGCAATAAGCCTCCAGCGAGGAGAAAAGAATGTAGAGGAGCCACAAGCTGAAGAACAACATTGTGGTCAGGGCCTTTGCAGTCCGTGGCCCTCCCAGCTCTCCACCAATCTCTGGTCGTCGTCGGTACATCAGAGTGGCGACTGAGATAAAGGCAAATATGGTAAAGAGTGTGACAGAGAATGCCAGAGTGCCAGGATCCACCTTAAACTCCTCCCCCTTGCTTTGGTGGTAGATGGCAGCAATGGACCACGCCACCTATCAAGCAACAGCAAAGTTAATAACAGAAGACACCATAACCACATTTACACATTTATTCTGTCATTGTTAAAGACTGGTAATCTTAAAGTGGCAAGCATTAACCACTCAAGTGAGACTGAATGTTCCATCATTTTGTTGTTAATGGAGATGGACTCACCCCAATGCCTAGGAAAACATTGACAGCATTTGAGCCAGTCACGTTACCAATGGATGCATCAGCATACTGATCTTGGATAGCAGCAACCTTACTGGCAAATGTATCTGCATGGAAAGAAGTGAAGAGAGATTGAATGTTAAAAGGTTGAATGTGGAACACAAACACCATAGCAACACCTAGTGTGTTGAGGTTTTAGATGCAGTAGAACATGGTTTCCATCTATTGGGAGGCCAGGTTCGCCACCAATACATGAAGTGACCAGTCAGTACCATGTCCAGTGACGAATCGTACAGGGTAAGGACTAATTTCCTCTAATAGGTTTATTTACAACAGTGTTTAATGTTAGAACATCTTCTGGCTTCAGAAGCAGCTGCTTGACTTGAAAAGTCAGCCATTTTCCACAGTGCCAGCCTCACTGTGCTGAGTTGACTGTTTAGTTTGGCAACCCGCAATGATGCCATCTACTGGCTGGTAGATGTAAATACAAACCCAGTGTCATGCCTGTCAAAATAAATATTTGATTATTTTTTTAAATAAAAATATAGCTTTTAAAGGAAACACCACCTTCATTCTTCACACCTCTTAACACCCCAGGGAGTTTTTCTTAATGTAGCTTTTAATTACACTCTTCCCTATTCAACTCTTTACTTTCATAGATGAAATATTTTCAGGTTTTCATTTTGTAATGAATTAATTTTCATCACTGAAAACAAAATGAAAAAAAAAATCACTTCTATAAAAATTAAATCACTCAATTTCAAATTAATCTTCACTTTTGTCAACAAATAAGAGGCAACGAAAATTGAAAGCAGCAAAAACTCAACCACAAAACAGGAAAGATGTTCATAACAGACCAAAATGCAAATTTACCAATTAGCAAATGAAACAGTTGGGACTAGATGAAAAATAAACCAGAGACCGGAGGCGGCCGATGTTTAAAAAAGCTGCCGGTAACAGTTGAACAATTCCATCCATCCATTATGGATACATGTTATAATAAACACCTGTTTTGATGTCTTTTCCTGTCATGTTTACAAATATTGCTGCACATTATAAAGATATGTTTACTTTATTAAAAGTGACAGGCACAATTTCAAACTATCGGTGTGCAATTAGGTATTTTCCATTAATTTGTTGTTAAAACACTTAGAGTTTTATTGATCCAAAAAGTGAGATGTGAATTTTTCATATTTCTTTACAGCTTCAAGTAGTTGCGTTAACAGTTCATTTACAGAAGTAGAAAATTATTACATCAGAAGAAAAAAAAAATATATATATATTTTAGTGGATTAAAATTAAAACAAACTGGACGACTAAATCGTAACTAAAATTTTAAAAAAATTGTCAAACTAAATTAAAATTTCTTTTCAAAATGAGCACTGGGGACTTCAACACTTAAGCAAACCATCAGATGTCAATTAGTTTCAGTACTGATGCTCATCACAGTAGAGGCCAGGATTCGTACATGTTTTCTGTTATATAAACAGCACATTAGTATAAGGTTGATTAGCCATAATAGCGCTTTATATATGAACGGATTACACAAATAAACATTCAACAGCAGCACTCTTAGTGCTGTAAAGTAATAACTGTAAAGGCAAAACCTAAAATAGAAACCTGAATCCTAAAACTGTGTTCATTTCATGGTTGTAAGCATGGGAAGGGTTTGGTCCAAGATCAATCATTAATGAAACAGAGGCTGTTTCTCAATACCCAAATACACTAATATGTTCATACCGTAAATCCTCTAATACAGGCCTGTATTCAATTAACGGCTGGGTCTCAAATTTTGGCCGGTGTCGGAGTCGGCAGAGGTGAATAATGGCCGGTCTCTTATTGTGGCCGGGTGGAATGTGGTAACAAGCAAGTACGGGGGGGTGGGGGGGGGGTTTGTGTCATTGTCTCACTTTTGATTTGCCAGTGATAGACTTTTAACCGTGCGGAGATGAAGAGGAGGCGAAAATTTGATATTGTAGGACACCGGGCGTCTCAGCGGCAGGTTTATAGTCCCCAGATCAACCAGCAGGAGGCAGTAAAAGGTTCACACAGACCTTTACTAGGCTTTTTCTTCAACACTTTGTAACGCTACAGACACCGATCCTCTATCACGCTCCTACCACACAGAGTCACGGTGTCAGTTAACCATGCTAATTCAACCCGCTCCATAGAACACACATCACCTTCCCTGTGGCTTACATTAACATAACACTCACAAAACACGCAAATCAGCACATAGGAACTAGCAGAACGATAGGAAACACATATAACACAATACCCAGAATGCACCTGGCTTACAACCCCAGCCAGGTCATTACACTATCAAGTTCAAAGAGAACGTGCACTGCACAACACTGGGGAGCAATAGGGGTTGTATGAACTAGTCAACTACACTATAGTGACTTTTTATGCCTGTCATCGACTAGTCGCTGTCACGTGATAATGACCGGCAAGATGCAGCCCTCGGAAAAGACAGCAGCCTGCTGTCAACAGGTGACAAGCTCCTGTTCGGGGGGGGGGGGCGTGCTGTGCCAGAGCGTCGGTACTGACACGCGATCGTTCACGTCAGTTAATTTCCTTTAATGTTTTCTGTCTTCTATTTGCGCCTGATGCGTTTCGCTGTGGAGCGGGGCGCATCACCTTGTCATCCGGTGACGCACCGATCACTGATGTGGCCGGCAAGCAGCGAGCACTCTGCTGTTTTTGCGGTCGGTAGATCTTTTAGAGCTGCAGTTCAAAGGTAACTCATAAGGTAAATATATATGAACCCAGGTAGCAGTTTCTCTTTAGGATTGAGAGGAGATGCAGGAAGATAATAAACAGACAGGACAGAAAAATAGTCAAATAAAAACAAGTTTGTTTTTTGTACCTGGTGGTTGCAACAAACAGACACCACTGAAGGTAATCACAAGTGAGGAACAGAAAATGAAATAATTATTTTAATGTTTAGAGCAGCAGGAACTCCGAGAGGCTGCAGGCGCATCAGTGAGTTTGCGGCCGCTGCGCAGGGGGAGAGGGGAGATGGCTGAAGCAGAAACTACTGTTATTAAAAGAAATGTGTTTAACTTTGAAAATGTGGGCTCAATATTAATTGTCAAAAACTCCAGCGAACCATTAGTTCATTTTGCTCAAATAGAAATAGAGGCCTGCCTCCAATTCTGGTCCTCCTTCCAATAAAGGCCTGGAGCTTGATTAGCTTGAGTCAAATACAGGCCCGGACCTGTATTAGAGGATTTACGGTATGTACTAGACAAGTATGCTCTTGGCAAGGACACCAGAATGTCCATTCTACTACGGAAGGACGATGACAGCATTTGAAACAGAACCGTACTCTGTTGTGCCATGGCAACAAGCACAGCTTTTTGCTATGGTTAAAAAAAAAATTACCCGATATAAAATAAAAGTGTAGTTTGTCCCTTAAATAACAAAATCACGATGAAGACATATTATTTGTATAATATTTGGTTTGCTTTTTGTCAAAATTAATAAAATACCAGATTTCTTGCAGTTTAATTAATAAAAATGTTTCTTTTTCATCAAAACAAAGCTATTTAAAGCATTGCTGCTTTTATTTTGATAGCGAGTTAGCCAATTAGCATTTTGAGGGATCCTGAAGTCTGAAGGAAAAAAAGGCAGTAAAATTTACAGGTTACATGCAATTATTTACAATATCAAGCAACTTCATATTTCTTTTTGTATTTCTGATATAAAACCCTACAGTTATGAGTTTTCTCCTCAGTCGTTCAAAGCTATGGTTTGCGTTGCAATGCATTGTGGGATGCCTTGCCGGCAAAGTCCACAGAAGGATGCAACTGATGCATCCTTGATATAATGGGCGGAGCAAGAAGACATCCAGGAAATCTGGCCGTACTAGCAGGACCAACAATGATAACATTTCACAAGGACATGAATCCACAAGTACAGACAAGTATGCATATTGAGTAACGAGTCTCAGTTTGCACTGACAAATATTTTTGGCCTAGTTGCTCACTTATTTTTCTGCGTTGTCCCCTCAAACTTCCCCTGGTTTAATTTTTGCCAAACTACAGATGCTCCAAAGGGACAATGTTCCCCATTATATTGACAGAATATTTGAAAACCAAGCCAACTCCAAACAATAGACTTCAGTGAACAAAAAGCTGAATGGTCAGTGCTTTTTACTTTCAATAATTAGCTGGCCACCCCATCTTTGCAAGTGTCTGGATGCAGTATGAGGAGACAAAAACTGAGAAAAAGCAAAGAGATGAAAGATCAAGATGATTACGTTCTTTGGGGAAGCTGCAGTCAAACTAAATAAGGACAAAAATGCATCCAGATGGAGTAATTGCAGAAGAAGCAGAAGATGACGCGATGGTGGCCGAGAGAATTGACCAACAAAGAGTCTGGTTGAAAAGATAAACCTCCCCCAACTCATGAAGCTTCATGGCAATCCTGCTGGGCTGATCTGTGAGTATGTTCCTGTCAAGGCTTTGTTGTTCCATAAGCGTGTGTGTGTGTGTGTGTGTGTGTGTGTGTGTGTGTGTGTGTGTGTGTGTGTGTGTGTGTGAGTTTCAGTGTAAAGTGCCTACATATACAGTGCTTCTGTGTTTGTGAACAGAACCACCTGGGTCTAATCTGATGCCATGCATCCACCAGCTGGCAAAGGTTTGCGAGTCTCGGCTTCAGTTGCTCTGAGTGCTTGTGAGGCTGATTGAGTGGGAGAGTGTGTGGGTGCTCGCGTGTTCAGTGGTGCCCAGCATGTTGTGTGAAAAAGGTTTGCTCCTTCAGTGACAGTATAGCTCCAGAGAGCTTCCTGCCCTTTTCCTTAACCTCACAATCACCTGATGCCAACTTCTTCCCTCTCTGCCTCATTCTCGCTTTTGTCTTCTGCTTGCCTACGGTTTCCTAAAATGGGAGGAGGTGTTGGTGAATATTTATGCGCTCAATTTGATCAGTTGTCTAGCTTTGGTAAATTATTTGTACTAAATAAAATAAACCTTGTGAGAATATATAAACGTATTAACATATTAACGTGCTACTACTAGTTTACCTATTGAATTAATTATAGATTTACTAGGATAAATACAATAAAGTATATCTCTTACTAAATAAAATATTTATGAAGAAA